GACTTTATGTTACAAATGAGAGAAAGCAAGGCATTCACAAGCATTATTTTAAATTTTCTTTAATTAATATATAATTACATTGTTCCTGCCCTTCCCTTTCCTCCTTTCAGGCTTTCTCATGTCTCCTTTCTCCAACCACTGCCATGGCCCCTCTTACTTCCTCTCAATTTGATGTCCTCTTTTTCTTTATTACTGTTACACATGTGTGTGCATACATATATGAATATAATCTGATAAATCTGTGTAGTGTTGCTTATGTGTATGATTCCAGGGCCCACTCCCTTGTGTTAGACAGCCAATCAAGGCATTCATCCCTGGAAGATAATAATAACTGCCTGTAGTTCTTTGTCTAAAGGTATTGCTTGTATGGAAGAAGAAACTCTGCTATCCTTTTGTTTGTGGGAATTATGCATAGAAGAAATAAATGTGATAATGCTTGAAAGGGCATTCCATAAACCACAATTGTCTATGCTAAAAAATGTTAGATTTGTTGCTAAATTTTATTAGTACAGAGAAAATGGTGACTAAAGTATAAAAATAATACAAAGATAGAGAAAACATCAATTATTATTTATATATTATATTGGTGTTGATATAAACATATCTATCCATATATGGGAAATTCTATGGACATTGAAGACTTTTAAAAGGCATTTTATCTCTGATTATTTAAACAAGATATTGTGTGAGATTCAGAATGATAAAATAATTAGTGTATATTAAACAGAAGGGAAATAGAAGCCAGACACTCTTAATTTATTTGACTTAATAAGTCAGACACTCTTAATTTATTTGTTTTGGCGACTATCTAGACATGTCTTTGTACTAAACATGCATAGTCAGCACCTACTTTCCTTAGTTTATTGAAATTAGAGAGGATTATGGCATTTTCTTTGCTTTGTTTGGTTGGTATGATGTAGTTAAGTAAAATATATATTTGTGAAAACTTGTTTCTTCATTTTCTCTTCTAGGCCAGGGAATATAACTTAAATAACTTAGTTATGGTATTTTAAAATATTTTTATGAATGTGTTCATGAAAGTAAGAAAGGCAGATTCTGTAACCAAAAAATAAAAAATTCAAATTTATTCTAGTGCCATATTCAGTAAGAAATAATAATAAATTATAATAACAATAATTACATATTTTATGCGTTTGATGAACCAATTTCATTGAGCCCACATTGGGAATACTTTTAACCTCATGCTTTTGCACCCATACCCCAGTTCCCAAAATAATGACTCCATGACTTTTAATGTTTATGAATAAAAGCCTAGGCCATAAGCTTTGGCTCGTTCCCTGACTAGCTCATAACTTATTTTACCAGTTTTTCTATTCTGTATGTGTCACATGTCTGGTTACTTCTCCTCAGTTTCATGCTTTCCTCTTTCTCAGAGTCTAGGGTGAATCTCCCTCTCTGACTCTATCCCAGAGTTCATCTCTCTCTTCTGTAACTCCCACTACTTATTTCCTGCCTCAGCAGACAGACCATCAACCTTTTTATTGACAGCTAATACTTCGATACGGTACACAAAAGAGTCTCTCTACATATTTTTCTTTTCTATTTTAGTGCTGCTGAACACCCAAATTTTCCATTTTCTGATGAATATTAACATGAGCACTTTTATCATGGTATCTATCTGAAGATCCTCTATGTAGCTAATGAACCTGACCGTGATGACTGACATGATGCTGATGAGTCACACCACTTCTGGATTATTCACACACTTAGAACTCACAGGCAATTGGAGCAACAATCACCAACCTGGAAAAAAAGGAGCTAAATTTTTAATCACTTGTTGAAATAAATGCAATGTTCTTTTCTCTAAAGATTTTTTTTTTGCTGCCATCTCTGTTACTTGTCTGTGTTTCTTTTGACTAATGATTTGCCTAGAAGTCAGTGGGAAAAAGTGGGGACAATAATAGCCATTTAGATGAATGGGAGAAAGAGCCAATTCGTGACACTATCAAACACACTCTGCTGTTTGTAGATGAGAGCCTGGTATAGCTGTCTCCTGAGAGACTCCACTCAGGAGCGGTTTCAAACACATGTTGAGACTCACCGCCATTGACTTTGGGCTGATAGCAGGGAGACTTGTGAAAGAGTAGAGAGAAAGAGCCAGAGGAGACAAGAACTCCATAAGAAGACCAACAGAGCCAACAAATATGGGCCAAGAGGGGTTTGCAGAGACTGAAGCACCAACTAACAGCCATGCATGGACTGGACCTAGGTCTCCTACACATACTTATCCAATGGGATGCTTGGTCTTCATGTGGGTTACCTAGTAAGGGTAGCAGGGCTGTTTCTGACAAGGACTTTGTTGCATGCTTTTTGAACACTTTCCTCTGGAGGGACTGACTTGCCAGGCCAACATGAAAGAGGATGCACTCAGTCCTCATGCAACTTGATGTGCTTGAGTGGGTTGATGAATAGGGAAGAGGCTCCCTTTTTCTGAGGGTTAAGAAGAGGGTGAATAGGGAGAAGAGGGAGGGTGGGGCTGGGAAAAGAGAAGGAAGGGGGCTATGAGTGGGATGAAAAGTGCATAAACTAATTAATTTTTTTAAAGAGAGGCAGAAAAAAATAACTCAGTGCACCCAGCCTATAGATCAAAAACAAAACAGACTACACACAGTAAACTTTGTCAGATCAAAGTGGCACATCTAAGAAGAGAAACTGACAACTGACGGTGCCAGGGTTCCTCCCATCAGTTCAGGATCTGGGTCCTAAAAATGAGGAATGGAGCATTTCTTTTGAAAATACTTCTAACACTTATGAGGTCAACACTGAATAGAATCTTATGCATCTACTGTAAATTGAGGTTGCAGAATGTTAACAAAACCCACACACTTACGGACACCTGACTTTTGACAAAGATGCCAAAATCATACAATGGAAAAAAGATAGCATCTTCAACAAATGGTGCTAGTCCAACTGGATATCTACATGTAGAAAAATGAAAATAGATCCATACTTATCACCCTGCACAAAACTGAAGTCCAAGTAGATCAAAGACCTCATCATGAAACGAGACACATTGAATCGGCTAGAAAAAGAAGTGGGGATTAGCCTAGAACTCATTGGTACAGGAGAAAACTTCCTGAACAGAACACCAACAGCACAGGCTCTAAGAGCAACAATCAATAAATGGGACCTCATAAAATTGAAAAGCTTCTGTAAAGCAAAGGACACCGTCATCAAAACAAAGCAACTGCCTACAGATTGGGAAAGAATCATCACCAACCCTTTATCTGACAGAGGACTCATATCCACTATATAAAAAGAACTAAAGAAGCTGAAAAGCAGCAAACCAAGTAATCCAATTAAAAAATGGGGAACAGAGCCAAACAGAGAACTCTCTGTAGAGGAATATCGAATGGCAGAGAAGCATTTAAAGAAATGCTCAACCTCATTAGCCATTAGGGAAATGCAAATCAAAACAACCCTAAGATTTTACCTTACACCCATCAGAATGGCCAAGATCAAAAACTCAAGGGACAACATATGCTGGAGAGGTTGTGGAGAAAGGGGAATCCTTCTCCATTGCTGGTGGGAATGTAAACTTGTACAACCACTCTGGAAATCAATCTGGCGCTTTCTCAGACAACTAGGAATAGCACTTCCTCAAGATCCAGCCATACCACTCCATCCAAAAGGGGCTCAAGTACACAAAAAGGACATTTGCTCAACCATGTTTGTAGCAGCTTTATTTGTAATAGCCAGAAGCTGGAAACAACCCAGATGCCCCTCAACTGAAGAATGGATGCAGAAATTGTGGTACATCTATACAATGGAGTAATACTCAGCAATGAAAAATAAGGAAATCATGAAATTTGCAGGTAAATGGTGGGACCTGGAAAGGATCATCCTGAGTGAGTTGTCCCAGAAGCAAAAAGACACACACGGTATATACTCACTCATATAAACATACAACATAGGATAAACCCACTAAAATCTGTACATCTAAACAAACTAAGCAAAAGAGAGGACCCTAACTAAAATGTTCAATCCCCATCCTGAAAGGCAAAGAGGATGGACATCAGAAGAAGTAAACAGGAAACAACCTAGGAACCTGCTACAGAGGGCATCTGAAAGCCTCTGCCCTGCAGACTATCAAAGCAGATGCTGAGCCTGATGGCCAACTCTCGGGCAGAGTGAATGGAATTTTATGTAAGAAGTGGGAAATAGCAAGAGCTGGAGAGGACAGGAACTCCATAAGGAGAGCAACAGAACAAGAAAATTTGAACACAGGGAACTTCCCTGAGACTCATACTCCAACCAAGGACTATTCATGGAGATAACCTAGAACCCCTGTGCAGATGTAGCCCATGGCAGTTCAGTTTCCAAGTGGGTTACATAATAATGGGAAGAGGGACTGCCTCTGACATAATCTGATTGGTCTGCTCTTTGATCACCTCCCCCTGAGCGGGGGAGCAGCCTTACCAGGCCACAGAGAAATACAATGCAGCCACTCCTGATGAGACCAGATAGACTAGGATCAGAAGGAAGGAGAGGAGGACCTCCCCTATCAGTGGATATGGGGAGGAGCATCCATGAAGAAAGGGCAGTAGGGTGGGATCGGGAGGGGAGGAGGGAGGGGCTTAGGGGGGGATACAAAATGAATAAAGTGTAATTAATAATAGTAATAATAATAAAAAAAGAAAAAAATACCACAATTTCTGTACCCATTCCTCCGTTGTTGGACATCACCTCCCCCATGAGGGGGGAGCAGCCTTACCAGGCAACAGAGGAAGACAATGCAGCCACTCCTGATGTGACCTAACAGACTAGGATCAGGAGGAAGAAAAAGAAACCCTCCCCTACCAGTGGACTTGGGGAGGGGCATGCATGGAGAAAGGGAGAGGAAGAGAAGGATTGGGAGGCAAAGAGGGAGGGAATTTGAGGGGAAATACAAAGTAAATAAAGTGTAATTAAAAATAAAATTAAATTAAAATTAAAAAAGAAAACATAAGTTATTAAAATTATATTTTAAAACCACCTAAAATTGAAAAGTCCTATTACAATTACATATTAAAATTCTTAATATTTTAAAACTTCAGTTCTTTCTCAGATGATGAATAATGGTACTACCTAAGGACTTAGATATCTAATCACTAAAAGATATAATCAAGGTAAACAATAATAAATGATGAAATGTATGTATGTATGTGTATATATATGCATATATATCAATCATCTTCCCAGAGATTCAGGTTTTTATTTTTTTAATTAAAATACAGTTATATCATTTCCCCCTTTGTTTTCCTTTCTAGAACTCTCATGTGTTTCTCTGCTACTTTCTCTCATATTTGTGTTTCTTTTGTGCAGTTATTACTACACACACACACATAAGCAGAGCCTGGTGAATCTGTGTAGTGGTGCTTGCATGTACATGGTTTCATGGTTGACTAGTTGGTACTGGATTAACAATTAAGGAGCCCATCCTAAGGAAGACTAATTCTTTTGCTCTTAGATTCTTAGAATTCTTTAATTTTCTAGAGCTTTTTATATAAGTATGCTCCCTTATAAGAGTTCTGCCTTACATGTGGGAATGCCCATTGGTTCCGTCCTTATTCAGATCTTGTTTAAACAGCCATATTCTTGAGGTAATTTGTCATATTTTTAAATAGGAATGGGTAGATTTTGTTCAGCAAGACTGTCATTACAACATAATTTGAGAAAAATGAGCATAAATAAGACAAATAAAATCCATGAATGTAAGTATTGTTGCTGCCAACACCACTGAGATTTTTAGAAAATTATTTAAGTTTTTTTTGAATATTTACTTTACATGATTTTATAAATTTTATTTCAATTAAAAAAGGGTTTAGAAAGAAATGCTAAGAAAAGCTATAACACACTTTTGTAAAAGTAAAAAAAAAAATTGGCTGTGCCTGGAGAGAGAGATGGCTCAGCATTTAAGAGCACTGGCTATTCTTCCAGTGGTCCTGAGTTCAATTCCCAGCAACCACATGGTGGCTCACAACCATCTGTAATAGGATCTGATGTCCTATTCGTTCATGAAAGCATGCACATGCATGCAAATAGAGTACTTATAAGTATAAATAAAGAAATCTAAAAAAAAAGAATTTGTTTCAAAAATAAATTTAAAGAAATAAAGCATATGATGTTCTATTCCTAATGAAGAAAAAAACATGATATTTAACCACAAAGTAAAAGAATAAAGAAAAACAATGAAAAGAAACCGTTGCTCATATATATATTTTTCTCATGAGAACATATATTTAAATATATATGTATATATACATATATAAAAAGAGAATAAAAACAACAGAATTTAGGACAGAACAAATGTACCTGAATTTGCAACATAATTAACGTGGAGAATATAGAGGTTGCTGTAAATTAATTACAACATGTGTTTCTCGGTCTCCATACTCTATGAAAATCTGTGCATACTTCCACTACCAGGCAGTGTCTATTTTCTCCTCCCTTTAATCTTAACCTTTTTATCCTTTTTTGATGTCCATGTGAGTATGTGTGGCATGTGTGTATTTATTCCTATTTGCATATTTAGGGACACACTTTTGCCTTCTTGCATGTGCACATGCGCGTGTGCGAGCATCCATGTGTGCACATATATGAAAGCATGAGGTTGGTACTAGGCTTCATTCTCATAGTTTTTGTACCTTAGTCACTGAGGCTATTTTCACTAGCAAGGGGAATCCTTACTCTGAATCACTTACTCAGAATCACTTACTCTGGGGATCCCTTATCTCTGCTTGCTAGACTGAGATTGGAGGGGGCACATCCTCCTGGGATCTTATGGTTCTAGAAATATAAAATCTACTCCCATGTTTGCTTGGCAAGAGCTTTAACCATGGGGCCATCTCCAGTCTCTTAAAGATTTTTGTAGCTTTTATTAACTACTACACTTAGCAGGAGAAGTGATATAATAATCCTTTGCTTAGGTTTAAAGTCTTTGCAAGTATCTACTCAATTTCTTGAAAGAGGAGTATGTGAGGAGGTGAAACCTCTGCCAGTTGGCTAGTGAATGGAAACTATTTGAAGCTAAGGAACATCAGGTAAGAGATAAATGAATCCTGAGGCAGATGGAGCTCATCATCCTGAAAACATATACAACAGTTCCATGAACACACTTGAGTGAACTCACGCTATACAGATGTGTCAGGGTTCAGGCTGAACTGAAGAAAATTTTAAAATCATAGAACAATGAAATAAACAAAACTCTTTGTATTGAAGCACTATGTTGGGCCTGGTTTATTTTGCAACTACTATAGGTAATGGTATAGCAAAGTTCTTGCAGTTGAAAATAGAAGATCATCAGCACAGGTAAGTCTTCAAGAAAAGAATATGCACTTAGCCAGTGAGGCAACTCAAATAAATAAATAAATAGACACTTCCACATTAAAATATGAGAGTATGGCTAAAGAGAGGGCTCAGTGGTTTAGAGCGCTAGCTGCCCTACCTGGCCAGGTTCAATTCCCAGCAACCACAGGGCAGCTCACTACCATCCACAACTCCAGTTCTAGGGTATACGCCAGCCTTTTCTGGCTTTTCAGGGATGAACATGGTGCACAGACATCTATGCCTCCAAAACATCTATACCCATATACTTAAAATTGAGTAAACAACAATAAAGTGAAATATGTGACTATGTAGTCCAAATGCAAAATAAAGATGTGAAAAATTATCATATAAAGGTATGATATGCCCCATCTTAAACTATCATTTCAGGGAACGATGAAGAGATCCATTGCAAAGGAGGTATTCACAGTGTGTGGCTGACATATTGAATCCTAAATCTCTGTGCTCTCTCTGAACCTAATTCTATTAAGCTAAGTTGATGTTTGTGTTTTAGAGTAGAAGAGAATATTTCTAAATGCAACTGAAATCTCACAGGAATAGGAAATGCTAAGGAGATTGACCAAATTTAAAAAAAAAAAACAAAGATAAACAAAAGTTGATATTTTAAAGAAGAACATAGTGGAGAGAGAGAGAATGTAAGAATCCCGATGCCCCCAGCTTCCCTGGTGACCTGCCAGTTCTCTTTTATCTCATTCTCTTGGTAACTCTGGGCAAGCACTACAATTCCATGTTGAAGATACTAGTGAAGGGCAATCTGAGCCGGGCTTCGATTGTGCTTTTTTGCCATGTCACAAAGAACTTCATCGTTCAAGAGAACTGGAGAGCTTGGGTCTACCCTGGAAGAAAAGGCAGAAGTCTTTAGCTTCAAAGGTTGAGAAGCGTTACAGAGATTCTGAACACATAAGTTGCTCATTCAAAATCAGCAGACTCCACCGGAGTCCTTGGATCAGCAGCACTTCCATCATTGAGAAACTCAAAAATGCAAATTCTTCCCTCTCCCTGCCCAAATTTGTACTGAGCTTCTGAAAGTTGAGTTTATAGTACAGAAAAGCTTTCACCAATATACTGCTGTTGGAAGTAAACGCCCTACTGTTCTTTTACCATCGTTCAGGTCTTTGAGATCCAAGAGCACAGTAGGCAACCAGAATGATGTCTTTTGACTTGCAGTAGTTCAACAGCTTGCTCTGGTTCAGGTAGAGATGGCATTCCACCTGTGGATGGACAAACAGAAAGCCAACTGTTTAGAAGAGATGCTAATGCTAATGTAAAAGAGTAGCAATAAATTTAAGCACCTGAACAAGAAGATGTAACATATTTAGATTATTAATATAATTTAATTTGAGTTTTTAAAACCTAATTTCACATCTATGTTACTACTATATACCCAAATTCTATGAACCAGATCATGAAGTTTAATTCCATTTTGCATTACAAAGAAAAAGCATAGTGCTGCCTTGAAGATGTTTCCCAAAATTATTGGGGAATTTAAATATAGATAGGTCCAGAGTAT